TGAGTACCATTATTTCACACAGCATAGAGGGATCTCAACAGAGATGCGACGTTTGTCGGAGATACTATCGTAAGTCGTAAATGAAACACTGTCCCTGCGACAAATAAATATTTTAACATGAAAATGAGAAAAATAATTAAAATGAATAAGCAGATATTTGTTGTAAACAAGCATTTATGGTCAATCATTAATGATTGTGCGTCGAAATAAAATTTTACTGGAAAATGCAAAGGTGAAATGTGTTCAATATTTATGTTTCGGCAAATTTTCTGATTCAATCATTATTATATATCGCTGTTTTGAATTCTTAGTAAAAGTGATTTAAAAGTTTTAATTTAATAAGCACATAGTCAAATTTCTTCTTTGTCAAACCGAAAATGAATGGATGAATGAAAAAGTTTTAGAAGCAAAACAGTAACAGCATGGTTGCAACTAATTAATTCGTTTTCATCTTCTATATGAAACGTCCGCACTGGAAGAGTACGATAACAGCGAAGAATGTCTCATTAAATCTTTGTAGGTGACATCGCATTTATTTTCTGATATACTTAAAATCATTTCACATTTTCAAAGATTTAGGATGATAGTATTTTGAAAGAGAGGAAAAAAACTGAATGACATTAAATTAGAATAATGATATTGGATGAAAAGGATTCGTATGAGCTGAAATATTTCTCAATTAAAACATTTTGAAAGAGCAGTACTGTGGTACCATTGAGAATACATTTACAACTTTTCGAAACGTTCAATAACTGTATTACTTATATTTGCAATGAAAGGATAAGTGTGACAAAATATATCATTTCGTTGAATTCTATGCAAAAAATGTTTTGAAAGTGCCAATAAAGTGTGATTTACCATTGAAAGATAGCAATATTAGTAGTTGAATTTTTTTTACACTGATATGTGATTATTTGTCACAGATATTTTGAAAATAGCCAATAAGCCGTAATGTATCGGAGTGAGGAGAGTGGAAGTTGTGAGAGTATGATGAAACAGTTATCGGTAAGGATGCACTAATAGACAGAGACACCGCCAATTCACCTGTTTCCGCATACCCTCCAGCAAACAGGTTATTGAAGTAGCAGTGGAGGAGAATTATTTAGTTAAATGATGATGCTGTTGCTTTGCATCATAAGAAAAGAAGAAAGGAATGAGGCGTCTGAAAAAGAAACAACTTTTCATGCGACAGACGACAACAACAAATCGGATATTCTATTCGAAAGATCAAAAATCTCTTAGATCTATCAATCTTCGTTTTATTATTCCCTCTCTCCCTCTCTTTCTCTCTTTCTCATTTATTAATTTTGTCATAATTGTGGTAAGTTATGTTCAATTTGTGAATATATTCGTTTACAAAATTTATTATAAATGTATTATTAAATAATATTATTTAGATCTGATTTGTTATTTCGCACATTTAGTATAATATCGAAATTCCCATACTTTTCCACTTCTAATTCCGATATGTAATGATTTGTCCTGTTGAATTTAATGAACAGAAATGACTTGTTTGAAATAATAAAATTATTATTATGAATAAAATAATATATGCTATGTAATATAGCATTTACTCATTTATCTTTGATTTTATAATTTATTAAACTGATATTTACTATTCATTAATTTAATTCCATACCTATATAATATTAGTTAAGGCTTTTCGGAATTTTACATAATTATAGCGTCCGATAGTTTAGTGCTAAGCATTATTGCAGCGATTTACTGATAGGAAATAAATTTGTTCGATTTCTTTTCGTAACAGTCAGTGTTCAGTCGTGTTTACATTTTAACATTTCAAGCATACATCAATCAATAATATCCAATTTAATCATAATCATTTCACGTTGCGAATTTTTAATTTCATTACAATGTAATATATCTTTCAGTTATAGATCTCTCACATTTGCTAATAAGAGAAAGCAATGGAAGAAGAAGGAGAAACGAGTTTGCTTCTCTTGGTGGTATAAGCCGGCAATTAGCCGTTGCTCATTTGCTATTTTCAGAATTAAAATTTCTTATCGAAGTGCTATCTACTATGTTTGGATATTCTCATACATACTTAATCACATTTCTGTACCATTTTAACCTATTAATGGTTTTGAATAATGAAATATTGATATCAGCCAGTATCTTTCATGCAACTCAATCACAAAGTTGATTGTCTAGGCCGGTGTGGAAGCAATTATATTGGATTATCAAATTCCTGTAACAATTAACTATGGTACACTTCTTTGGCATCATTTCTACATTACTTCTTTTACGTGTTGGTTCCATTTATCGTTTTAATACATTTTTTTTATTTATTCATTCCAGTTTATAATTTCCTATTTTAGTTTCCTGGTTTCCTTAAATTCGTTTTAGCATAAATAATATTAGATTTGATGCACCTCTATCGTTCACAGTAAAATTTTTGGGATAGAGAAGCTTTTAATGATACTTCATTAATTAAGGAGAAATACAATTTTGAATCACATTTCCTAATTCATTTCTCATTTCCCGAACTGAAAATTTTCGTAAATTTTAATTAAAATAGAGGAATGCGAAAGAGAGAAAGAGAGACTATGAACGTATTAACGAAATATATGAACACAAATTGTTTTATAAAATTCTTTTCTTGAATAATATGGCAGACTTGTTAATAACTTTAAATTAATTGATCACAATTAAATGTAATTTATTTGCTTTTCTGAAAATTATTAGTGAAACGATTGAAGGGATTCCTTTTTACTGTTACAGTTGGGTGTACTGCCGGATGGATTTATTGGTGACTAATCCTCACAATGGCTCTACATTCCACGCTGAATCTGTCATTTCTAAGAATGCTGACTTCGTTTGCTTCACATAAAACTTTATTCCTTCATTTCTCGGATAACATTTTTTTGTTGAGGAGAAAAAAGTAATGAGAACGAAAATGAGCGTTACATTGCAATAATGTCGCCAGATTTTCTATCATTTTAGTGAAGTAAAGAGAATTAAAATTGATTATTTGTTCAAAATTACTAAATTAACAGATAAATTAGTTCAACCATCTTTCCTGAGCCATTTTTTATCATTAATAAGTTATCCAGTTATTTGCAAACAATCTTTTCTGAAATTTTACTTCCTGAAAAATTGTTTCGAAATTACAATCGGATGTTAATATTCTAAAAAATACTCATTCAATTGCGAGTTTTTATGCTGGAATGTGATATACCTTTCCTCTCCTTCTGAATGTTTCCTGTCCCTTCTCTTCTTTGTATTGTACTATCCAATTCTGATGGAAATTCTCACATCAAATTAAGTTTCAATTAAAATGGATTGTATGAGAATGCGATGAATCATTGAAATATTATATTTTGATGCCCACGTAGCGTATGCAATACTTAAAATGCCAAATTGAGTGAAAATATTAGCATTAATTTGAAAAGGCTAAACTTTGTATAATAATTTCAAAGTAGCATTTTTTCAGTAACAGATGTTTTTAAATGTACCAATTTAATGATAAAAAAAATAATTTCTAGTTTTGAAATGGAAAAATTTTTTAAGATATGATTGGATCCAAATCATATCTTAGAAAATTTTTCCATTTCAAAACTAGAAATTATTTTTTTTTAATTTTTCAATAGATGGAATTACTTTCGGTATGATTAAAATAAGTTATATTATATTTGAATATTACAAAACTACATCTTCAATCCCTCTCTGTTTTACTGTATGAATTGAAATTGTTTAAAATGAAAAAAAATTTTGAAGAAAAAAAAATTTACAATAAATTATCTCTCAAAATATTATGCTGAATAGTTGCGGCGTATGTTTTTTTTCTTTAAAATAGTTCAAATATTTCGGCATCACATAACAATTTCAACTTCAACCGAATGGCAATGAATGTTTGCTGAAAGAATTTGCAGAGAACATAACATATGATGATGAATTTTGGTTGATTGAATATTGTCAATAATAATTCGTTTCCCATGAAACAGAAATGCGTGAATGATGATTGTGAGAATTGATGTACGATTGCTGTTCGTTGCGTGTATTTCTGGTTTTCGTTATCGTACATAAATTTTAACAAAAATAAATGATAATCAGAAGATGAAAAAGCTTAAAGTTAAATTAATCTCAAAGTGTAAATAAACTCATTCCAACAAATATCTTTCCTGTTTTTTTCTTCTTTTTTGCCTTTTTATCTAAAATACTTTACACTGTTAGATAGGAAATTCCATTTTTTTTTTTCAAAAAAATGATATCAATTAAATAAATTTGTAAATTGATGGTATTCTATTTTACGCAAAAATCTTAAATTATATAGATGTAAGAATCCTATCAATATTTTGCTTGTCGATTATTGTTTAAGTTTATTTGTTGATTAAAATTTCAAATTATGCTATTTAAATGAATTTCATCCTTCAAAATACCATCTCATAAAATATCTATTCAATTACTTTTTTTTTTGTTGAACAGAGAGCACAGTTGACAGTGTGACAAATCAAAAATTGAAATATCAGTCTATAATCAATAAAGTGACATTTCTTCCTCTGTTTTTGTATAATTACTTTCTAACAAACTTTCTATTTCTTTCATTGCTTTTAAGAATGATATCATTTCAAGTTTTCCTCAGAAATCAATTTACATATTTGAACATTTGCCTTTTCACAGGTCGTTCTATGAACGACGGATGAGTTAATTACGATTGTATGAAACTGTTTATTGTTGTCTAACTGAATGATGTATTTAACTTATTATGCAAAATTTTACTTCATTAATGAGTCGTTAATTTTACTGGATTAATTAGTTAAAATAAATTGGGATTATTAATAAATTTAAAGTGCTCTTATCATGTAGCATCTCTGCAAACCTCATATAGATAACTATCGTTTAAAATGCTCATTTTTTTCAATGAAGAAAGATTTACTTGTTCTCATAATTTTTTGCTCAATAACTTCTTATTTTATTATAAATGACGTTACCTGTGATTTTTATCACTAAAGTATGCTAAGGTCAATTTTAATTACCATAGAAGGACAATTTCATCTTAATTTGTTGTTTGAAATGAGCTTAGATGAGAGGCTGAAAAGGATAGGAAATATCTTTCTGAAAAATCAGCCTTAGTTGTGTCAATAATTATTATTGAATACACTATTCATTGGACAATTCAAGAAAATTGAGCTGTTTCTTTTTAATTTCAAAAAATCCTCTTGTTTTTTCGAATTTTTTCACAAATAATTTTTTAGGATTTATCCCAATAAATTGAATCAATTAAATTTAATAAAATATTGTGCAGTTATATTTTGCAGTTAAAAGTTGACGTTATTGCAACTACTATTTTGGACGACTATGCGATTTGCAAAGCCGGTGGTTTCGGTCGTGCTTTATTGTTATGTGATGTTGATGATACGTTGGCTTTTCATACCCAGCAAAAGCTGATCTCGTTGCTAAATGATCTTCAGCGAAAGGTTAAGTGTAATTGTGACAGTGGATGCCAACGTTCGGATGGCAATGACAGGTTCCTCATTTCAACTTGTTTTAATTTTTGAAAAAATTTTTTCATTGATAAGAAATCTATCAAGAAAAAAAAGTCGAAAAAAATCATTAATTTCAAATAGCTTAGTTTGATAAAATACTTGAAATTTATGAGCTCAAAAACTCCAAGAAAATAATTTTGATACATTTTTAAAAATTTAAGCACATCTTTGTTACATAGTTTTAACCTGTGTGATTGTTAATGTCGGAAAGAAGAAATAACGTGAGGTGTTAAAATCATCTCTTTTGATGATTGAGATAAAAATATCCGAATATCCTTGACATGCAACAAATATTTTTTCCTTATCAATTTCCAAAAATTATAAACATTCTTTAAAACTTTCCAATTTTTCAAATCCACTGATCTACATTGTAATGTAACATTTAAATTTGAAGTTCATTCGAATGAGACCGATAATAAATATCATGATTAAATCCATAGTTTCAGTAATTTTCACAAGTTTCCCCAGAACTCATTATCTTTTTTTTCAAGTTTATTATCCTGTAAAAATTATACAATTCAACTTTTTTACTTATCTCACAAGAATTTTTGAACTGAATTTTTCGTCATCACATAAAAGAATTGCTCACGCCTCATTGAGCAATTGCATGATTTTTCGATACCGTATGCGCGCAAAAAACGAGCAATATTTCACTTTTCTAATCTGAAAGCATTGAACGGATCATTTAAAGTTGTTAAGATAAAAGTTTTTTTTCTTAGATTTGTTAAAAATGTTATTTAACACTTTCTTTTTCATGTATTCATTGTCGTTTAATTTTTTTTTTAAAGTTATGAGTTTTTAAATGAAACTTTTTCTAGCATTTTAAAAACTGATTCTTACATATATGATATCAATAGAATTTTTGCATTCTATGAAACGAATGCTCTTTCTTTTATGTGATCCCATAAAAAATCATTCCAAAACGATTCAAAATTTCAACCAAACCTATGGAAATTGAATTTCTTCTGCAGTTATGGTATGTTTTGAATGAATATCTTTAGGTATATCGGTGTTCTTCTCATAACAAATTCCACAAAAATTGCTGACAGTGATGAGCCATTGAATGAAACCGCCCAAAAGATTTACTATGATGCGCAGCTGGGCAATGTCCACTGCGACAATGGACTTCTCATTACTTACATAAAGGATAAAAAACAGGTCACCCAATAATTATTTTTTAACTAGTTTAAAAAAACATTTGGACATGCTGTACGGTACTTCTCTGTCAGATAACAATAAGCATTCAGATAGATTTCTTTTACAAGTTTTCAAACGTTCAAATTTTTATCTTCAGCATTTTTTCAAATAATATATCTTGTTTTAGTTTCAGTTAGATAAACTATAAAGACATTTCATTTGTTGAAAATCATTATCATTAATACAATAATTGTATACGAATACTTTTTTAGATGAAAAAACTCTCCAAAAATTTTCAATTATTTAATGATTCATTTAGCATTTAGAGCAGATAATTTCGAAATATAAATATTATTCCTACATAATTCCATCATCTATCATATTCTTATATCATTACTGCCACTATGGTTATTGTTGATAATCACTACATTTTATAGTCGGGATCGTTAGCCTAAGTCATTTCTCCATGGATTTGATTCAGAAATCCAATTTTTTGATTTTCAGTTAGCAACATATCACGGTGGCGATTCTTATATTTTTTTGGATACGGATGATCTAACAAAATTGCACAATCTAGCTATCAAAAGTAAACTTTTTAAAATATTTTTCTAAAACATGAATTTAATATGATCCATTCAAATACTTAATAATCTTTACATTTGTAACATCTGAAATTTTTAACTATCAAATTTTGCTACAAATTAGACTAATTAAGATTAAAATTGACTGAAAGTAATATGAATTAATGATGGAAGGAGAAAGTGATTAAATTCCACTGTTTAATGCATTCATAGCCATTTATATCCATGTTCACCTTTACGGATATTATCTAATATCCATATCGGATAAACGATTAGAAGACTGATAGAAATAAGAAAAGAAAAAAATTGAGTTCTCCAATGATGATTTCTTTTTTCACATGAACATTATTGATACAAAATTGCTACAAGCCTTAATTGAACTCGTCTGTTCTCTTCAGGCATTACAAACAATACTACTCGACCGTTATGTCTTCTTAGCCATAAAATTTCGCTTTTAATATTAGCTATTTTTTTGTGGTACGTTACAGTGATAACTCTCAACATATGGAAAGTATAATCCATTCATATCCTTCTTCCAGTGATTGTAATAAGAGCTTTTGAAATTAAAAAAAAAAAACAATGCTTCTATTCAATTGACGTTTTTATTGAGGTTTATAATTTGCTTTAATCAGCTAATTAATCATTTAGAGCATACAGTATTTCTATAACATCACTGTTGCATACAGTACTATCTACATACATATATATCCACGTATTTAATTTGTCTAGCCAGGTTCATAATTCGTTAAATAACAATAACATTGAAATTTTAAAAAGTAGAAAGCTCAAGTGGTTTACAAATACCAATATTTTGTTGCTAAAGTCAAAGATTATTTCAGAAGACGGAAAAGTAATCTTTTCCGAAATTTTACAAAGAATACTTACAAGTATTTACAGCTTGAGCATAACTCTATAGATGCTACTTTTATTGTAGTCGAACAGGACTTCATCATCATTTTATCCTAACCAGATTGCTGATTTATCATCATTTGAAATTATCAGTATGTCAAAATGTTATTTGTTGCAACAATTCATAATTTCAGATAAGCCATCGGACGGTATTATCGCACTGCAATACCTGTTATCTAATTATAACGATGCACGGAAAGCGGAAATACAACGAGCTGAAACTTGGACGGTATAATTACCTTTAACCTTTTATCATTTTAATGTAATACTTATTCAAGTTTTTTAGTGCTGAAAAGGATTTAATGAAAAGAGAATTTTTGCAATAATTTTCGTTTCTTATGATTTTCGAAAATTTTGTAGTCTAAACTGTTTCCTTTTGTATTTGTTATTCAAACAATAAGTGTTAGACTTAAGACAGATATCAAAAATACTTCTTTATGTTCGGTTATTATGATTATAAGATTTAATTAATTAAATAGAAATATGCGCTTCATAAAATAACCGTCGTTGATTACTGCGCACAATTAAATAATTTATCCATGTGATTTCTGCCTTTAAATAATATTCTTTTATTTAATTGCATTAATGTTTTTTCAAAAGATCTTCACTATTCTATTGAAATAAAATATTGAAATATGCGATTCGAATTTAAAAAATTGCTGCGTGTCTGTTATTAAATTAAACTGTTTTTTACATTCTATTATGAAATTTACTGCTTTAAAGATTGATTTTAACCAAAAACTTTTTTGAAACGATAACTAAAGATGAAATGAAAACCTGTTCTTGCGTATTTTAAGAATTAAATGTGTAAAATCAGTATGAGAAGAGAAGGAATTGAAATGGTAATAAGTCGTCCAATGAATCAATCATACTTTATTAAAAAATTGGTGGATAGGAAAAAAAATTTGTCTTGTTTTTTCTCTTATTTAAGTCTAAAACAAGTAAAATTATTGTAAAAAATCAATAAAAGTCACTATAAGAAAGCATTGAATGATATATTTTCGATATATACCATTATAAAAGTTAATCAGTCTATCTTATACTTTTTCATCTATCATTTTACTTGTCATTTATATGTCACATTAAAGGATTAAAAATAATTGTATACAACATCGAAAATTTCAAGAAGCGTTAATTATCGAACTCGTTAAACGCTTCTTGAAATCAGTCAATTATTTTTATTCCTTTATAAATGACCAGTAAAATGATAGACGAAAAAGCAAAAAATAGACTGGTTAACTTTTATAATGATATATATCAGGAGTATGTCATTCAGTGCCTTCTTATATTGATTTTTATTAATTTTTTTATATTGATTTCATTATTTTTAGACTTGAGCGGGAAAAAAACAAGACAAATCACTTTTTTTCTATCCACCAATTATATTCGTTAGTTTTTACAGAAGATAATATCATTTGTCAATTAAATGAAATAAAGCATGTTTTTAATTACTTATCTTTGTAGGTAAATCTCGTAAAAACCAACAAATAAATATAATCCATAAAAATCTATTTGTGTTTGTTGGAAATTCAAAATTATCCATGTCTAATATGCAGTAATATCCCAAATGTGTTAATTCTTTCAGCCAATTGTTGGACTCTTCTTGGCTCTTATCATTGTGTTATTAATCCTAGCAATATTATTAACCTTATTCTTGGCTCGATTTTGTTGTTGTTGTGCAAGACGCATCAAAGATGAGGATGAAATGTATCAGACAGGCACGATAGGAGGATCGAGAAAAATATTAATTGCAACTCCCACACTCGAACGAATCTATGGAACACCGGGAGATGCTATTTATAGCACTCCGTATTCCGGTAATCTTCCATATAGATAAATTAAATATAAACATTTTAATGAATAATCGTTATATTTTTTCACACAATAATTGTGATTTTCAAATATTCTACAAATTTTCAGGAAAATATGGTGAAGTAATGATTTATTGCAGTAACTGATAAAATGGTGATAATAATGATGATAGTTACAGGAACTCCACTTCCACCCCCACATTTGCCTGGTTTAAAGCCAGAAATATATCCCGGGTCATTACGAAGCTCATCCAAGACCGCTACACCGGCATCCATTCAGAAACATCGGATATTACCATTGCATTCCCCGATTTCACGCGGTATATCTCCCAGCGGTACATTAGTCATCGGTCGAATCAATAGTAACAAAGTTGATGATTCAACTCAGGTAATATCGATTTTTTTGTTACAAATTTAATTTTTTGGTAAAATAGCAAATATTATGTATGGCTGATAGAAGTTTGAACTATTTTGCTGTAGAACGATAAGTAAAGCTTTTCTTGGCTTTTAGAAGGTAATTTATCAATTAAATTAATTTATTTATTTTAAATCTATGCATCACTGATAAGATATTTGATTAAATTAACAGGAAATTTATATTTAATTTTAATTGTATAGTTGCAGACAAATGGTATTGCATCATTAGAAGATATATTGAAAGAAAAACGACAGGAATCTCCGATTCAAGGAAGTACTCCGATGAAGTCAGGTTTGGTATAGTTTCATTGATTATTAGGAAGCCGTACTTGGATTATATCTTTCAAACAAAATGAATATATATTTCAATTCTTTCTATGATAATACATTCTAAGATGGATAATTCAATGACAAAATTATTCATTTATCATTTAAATAAAAAATAATACTATTATGAATAAAAATATTTACTGATTAATAATATGCACAAATCAAAAATTATAATAAATTTAGGTGGTAATATATTGCTACCGCGAATGGCTGAAACTTCCAGTGGTCAACGGTCTATTGGTTATCCGGAATCAGATTTATCATTCTTGGATCCAAAACGGAAGCAAGAAGTGCAAACATGTACCGATTTTATTTACTAATTTTCTTCATATATACTTTGTTGATATACAGAACTAGAATACTCAATGTTTCTCAAACGAAGATCTATCTGTTCATTCAATTCTTTTAATTCAAATATTCCACATATATTAACAATTTTTTAGCTTTTAGTGTTGTATTTTCATGTAGTTTTCGTAAATTTTTATGTAACAAAACTGTAGAATTGTTAATCTTCCAGAACTTTAGCATTCTAAATCGTTAATTAACTCATATTTATAGGCTAGAGGATTAAACTTAGGAGCAGATGAGGTACTTTGACCCCTCTGAGTGGCATTCATTCAGGTTTGAGTCAAAGTTAGGTAATCTTTTGAGTATGTAATGGATAAAATGCAAAGGAAACGCTTTAACTGATTTTAAAATCATACTGTTTTAATTTTTATCAGTATCTCTTGATTTTAAAATGTTTCAGTTGATCTTTATAGTTCTTCGTAAAGAATCATTTCTTCATATATGAAAATTTTATTATGAAATTGAAATTTTGTACAAATATGCCATATATATCGCAAAAAGAATCATTTAACAATTCTCTACACATATTTTCAAAATTATGAAGTATCCATTATGGATATCTAATCATAAATAAATTTAAATTTCTAAAAAAAACACACCTTGAGTGTGTACGATCATGACAAGTCACTATCATGCAGATTACCTGTTCATGAATTCTGAAACAGTTACAATAGTGAAGAAGTCGAAATTCACAATATTGTTATTGTGGAATGAGTCGATTAAACTTCAATTTAATTACTTATTGTTAGGTTTATCTACATTTACACTAAACACAAATTACTAGTCGTCACAGTTTTAATCCAATTAATCTAATATCACACTTCAAATCAAACTAATCTGAAGTCATGGCTTTTATTTTTTAGCTTTATACAAATTATAGCTTTATATTTCTTGAATAATTTTAAAATTAATAACATTTAATTCGAATACTTTTATTGTAGTTCGTTGATGGGATGTGAATTTACGCGATGTTAGAAACATAATTAAATCAAATATACTTTAGGAGTAATAAAATTGAATGTTTATTGCAAAAGTTTAACGCAAAAAAGAAGCACCACGATGAGATCGGTAATAATTCACACAAACTGCGCTAAAATAATATAAAATAGTTGCACTTGGCTTTAACTTTTCTGTTTCTTTTTTTGTATTGCATTTTATCGCCAAAAATATTGCAATAAATTAATCATAACTATTAAATTTACGTAGTAAGCAAATTTACAATACCAAAAATTCTAATTTCAAGTTTTTGATGTGGTGGTTGTGCGGTGTGGGTGTGTGTGGGTGTATGTATGTGAGTGAGTATGTCCTGCTCGAAGAAATTAAATTCTTAATCTAAGAAGGAATGATGACCGCCTAAGTTAGTTTTTTTTTTTTTTTAAACACTTAGTTATTATAGATTTTTTTCACAGTTCTCTTTCTCCGGCAACATATTGATTCGATTCAGAGCAAGCAATTTTTTTAAGTAAGTAAATCAGAGTAAGCATAAAAACGAACACTGGTACGGCTAGGCAAGCGCAGATAACCCACGTTCGTGTTGTGTAACAGCACCTGTTTTTGAGATCACCGCAGCAGTAATAGTAATGAGTTAATGAGTTCTCTGCAAGAAAAAAGGAAAAAGTTCACGTAACACTCTGATTAGGTAATTCTGCTAACTAACGCTATATGTGATAATGTTGTAGTAAATGATAAAGTGAAAAAGAAGTGAGTTGTTGGATATCTGTTAATGATTTATAGTATCTCTTGGAATAAACTCGTAGTTTTAATTTCTGATAGTTCTGGTAGTTTTCTGGTAGTTCTGGTAGTTCAATACAATATATTTATGAATATATTTATGAATTCATGGAAAAAGTATATTCACGTAAGCTTCTTTCAATATTCTCTTTTGTTTTAATAACGAAACATACGAGCAGATGTATTAGTAAACTGTTATAATTCCGTCATTTTTGCACAGATTCATGCAAAATATAAAATGTTTACTTTAGCCTTTGATGAAAAAAAGCCAATTTTATTCATTCCAAATCGAAAAAGTGATAAATTTATGATAAATTTACTACCTGGACACATCGTCCCGAGATGTTTTGGTGGACACCACAGAAAATGCAAATATTTATGAACATCATCATCCTGAATTTGTTCCATTTATAAGACAAGTTCATAAAAAATTTACTGTGTCAAAATGTTTTAGGTGTAAAATTTTGGTACTAAGAATAAAATGAAAAAAAAAATACAGTTAACATCAAAGTCTAATGTAAAATTGAGGATTTTTCTTTTTAAAAGATTAAATTATCTCACTGTAATACGTTAACCTCTAAATAATCTCTCACTGATAATTGAAGAAAATGTAATATAAAAGAGGTAATTTACACTTTCATGTAAATTAAGTAATTTTTATGAAATTACTGAAATGTAAGCTAAAAATTAACGTAATCTTTCTTGGAAATCATTACCTTTGTAATGATTTCCTGCTGATTGTTTATTAGTTCGGCTGAATTAGCATTCAAATTGTTGAACAAATAGAAGGACATGAATGTTAGAGTAATGTGACGCATAACCATCTGCAAACAATATTCTTGGTTCAAAACGTTAGCACCTAGATTGCATATCTCTCAAATAATTGCAAAATTCAAATATGAACTTCAATCTAAGAAATGATAAATATATGAAAGAGTGGAATTGCAAATTTTCTTAGCTCGCAATCATCAATTGATTGTTGAAGGATAGAAACAACAAGGACGTATCATTGAAATGAAGGACGAAGACGGCGCGATTGCTCAAATTTTGTGTGCCCCATATTATAATGTTACCTATCAATACAGGTGGGAGGAGGATATTTCGGGGAAAAAAGAACTGGTTTGTTCTTTCCCTCTATTCCTCGGATCTGCCGCACCTTTCTCATAACTTCCAAGAAAGGATTATTCAACCTTTCTTCTTTCTCTTTTTTCAATAACACTGCGTAAAAATGAGCTGTTAAAAGAAGGAAATTTGACGACAAAGTGGCTATGCAGGTAATAAATTAATTTCATCAATTTCAAACTTTTTTTTCTATTAAAATAAAATAGTTGAAAATGAAAAGAATGAATTGATGGATGAAATATGCGATGACGTATAATTCAATAAGATTAAAAGTGGAAAAAAAACCAATGATTAATATTATGTGAAGAAAAAACCGATAATATTATAAATAGGAGTGGCAAACAATTGAGTGATTTTTTTAACAATAAATTGAAAAGATAATAGAATGATCGTAGAATGGGGAACAGAATAAGGTATAGATATAGCTCAGCAAGAATAGTTCCTATTATTCAGAAATAGATAATATTATGTGAGTAAAAAAAAACATTTTTTTACTATATTAATAATTAACTAATTAGTATGCATTCATAACCTAAGTAAGGCAAACGCTCAACACACGTACTTCTCTTTTAGCAAATCTATCAATTTTAGCATTTATTAATATTAAACTTTTTAAGTTTCTATAACTATCAGCACGACAGCAATTCTTTTATATCTGCCTATTTTAACATTCTTTAGTTTTGCTAAGTAAGATTTATTTGTAATTTTAGATTGAAAGATTCGCACATTCCCTTCAAATTACTTATTACATCCTTTTTTCTTTTTTTTCTTTTTTTCTTTGCAAAATAATGAAATGAATGCCGTTAAATTTTTCTCAAAAATTATACATTTCTTTTTTTCTCTTTGTTATTGATTGAGTGCGAAATTTTATGAATAAAGAAATGTCAGATTCATTAGCAGCAACAAAATTGCACAAATCATAAATGTTCAAATTAATTAATCTTCTAATAAACATTATATTTTATTTTACTCCCTGTATTTTACATATTTTTGTTTTCCTTTAATTTACTTCACTATTGAAAATGATAAAAGTGAAATAGAATTTTTGGAATTGAATTGTTGAATGAATAAAAATTGAGTGCAAAAATAATATTTTTTCATTCTTTGTCTTATCATTAAAATAAACACTTTCATGACAAGAATTTTTTCTTCTCCCGCACTTACAAATTTTTACAAATTGACAGTTATGCTGCTATTTTGTTTTATGACCTTTGCATTTATCGTTTAATTATCGCTTTCACAGTTAGGAAGTTGCCAATTTTGTTGGTGTCTAATGTTTTTTTTTTGTTTTAATTCATGGTGATTTTTATATAATCTTTTTTTTAAAAGAAGAAAGAAAAGTTCGTCAAATGAAATATTATCGGTAATTTAATGTTATTTAATCACAACGACTGGAAAATAACTGGAAAAAATATTTTTTAATACTGAACTGATGTTGACGGTTTATATTAATTGTATTAATTATTACATAGTGGTTACATTCTATTAAATATATTTTAAAATATTTGAAAAGATTTTATTATACTTAAACTTTTTTCAATATTTGCTTTAATTGTATTTTTGTGTATTTTTTTTTCAACCAATGAAGTGAAATTAGATAAGTATAAGTGCTTCAGTTAGCAGATTAATATTAAACAAATTCAATTTATTGATGTTTCCATTATTGATCGCCGTTTTGTGACATCAATTCGTGTCTTTCACTTGATGATAAGTAAGTAATGGTAGAAGATAAGATAGGTATATGTGGAAAATGTATGGCATCATTTTGCTTCCAATATGCGCCATTTTGATTGAAACGATCAATGCGCAAAAGGAATCTGATGAGGAGCTTGTTTATGTGCAAGCAATCTGGCGGCATGGCGATCGAGCACCAAATCATTTACCTTATCCAAATGATAAATACAAGGAGACTGCATGGCCGAGAGGATGGGGTCAAATAACAAATGTTAGGTGTTTTCAATGACATTATTCAATTTTTCTCAGTATCTTTTTCTTTGTCGGAGCAAATATCATGTTTTGGTATCAAGTTTAAATCTTTTAACTTTGAAAGAAGAATTACACGTGAAGATTTTATTGCTTTTGATTAATTTAAAGAATAATAATTGAGATGTTTGAATGTATTTGAGATTGGAATGATGCAAATGTATGAACTCGGAGAATTTTTTCGAAAAAGATATGCTTCGTTTATTGCAAATTTTAACAAAGAAGATGTAAGTTTTCTTTGTTACAGTTCTAAAGTGTAAACAAAAAAGAAGGAAATCAACAGAAATAGTACCAACCATTGATTTTTCACTTGGAAAAAGAAAGAAGGGAATGTTGTTAACTTTGTTTTTCTCTTCTCAAATTTTAGAGTAAAATAGAAAATTAACAACGATATGTTTATTGATTATCCATTTGGTAAAAAAAAAAACATCTTTTTCTTAAAATTAGGTGGTTCGGGGCATTTACTGGAAATATGAAACACCTGCCCGATGTAAACTATTCCGATTGAAAAGAGAAATAACTGTTAGTCTTCTGGCACTCAATATGTTTGTGTACAAAAAACAAATGGGAACTAATAGTTTTATTAAATAAAAATCTCGTACAGAATTATTAATTTTATTCAATTTTTTTAGGTAAATTTGGTATCATCGAGCTCGGATCGTGCTATAGTCAGTGGATTAGCTATGCTTCGTGGCTTCTTTCCAGCTAATGGTCAAGAAGCATGGCTGCACAATGAACAGTGGCAACCGCTACCATTTCAAATAGAAACAACAGATGCTGTAAGCTTTTGAAATCGTACTTTCCCACCGTATGGAATATTTGTTAATGTTAAAATTGCTCATTTCAAAACTTAACTATTCCAATTCACACGTGCTACCTAATTACTGCGATACTAACAAATGATTAACTCTAATGTTTATCAAACAAATCTAACTTTGCCTTCTTTCTAAGCTGTCACATGTAAATAAAAATAGTGTATTATAACATTCAACCTTAAAAAACTTGTTAATATTTCATAATTACAACTTCATAATAATCATCATTAATTTCGATCTTCTTGCAAAATTTAATTTCTCAATTTACTGTAAATAAAAGCAATAAATGAGCTGCTGTCGCTTCAGTTCAAGAAAAAAAACTTTCTGAAATTGTATAATTGAATAATGTTGCAGTTGTTAAGACCGACAAATTTCGATTGTAAAACATATGATTTGGAGAGTAAAAAGGAAAATGAAGTATTATACAGAAATATAAGTGAGAAATATGCTGATTTTTTCGATTTCCTTGCCAATGTTACTGGACATAAGAAGGTGGATTTCAAAAAGGCTGCCTCATTGTATGATATTCAACGAGAGGTTAGCAAAGAAATGAAGAAAGATTTATCAAATATTGAGCATTTACAAAATTTGAACCAATAAATTTCATGTGGAATAACTTTTAAATTATCGCAATAATTACACAGTTATATTCATTAGTAAAATGCTATAGTTAAATGGAAATTATTTTCTTAGATGGATAATAACATGACACAACCATTGTGGGTGTATCAGATATGGCCTCAATTTGATAATAAGACGACAATTGGTATAATACGTAATTTGAAGAGAATTCGTCGTATCTCGGAGTTTAATTCAGCAGGAAAGGCTCAATTACGTGGGGGTTTATTGATGGAAGATTGGATTGATCGAGCAAAAAATGTGTCACTCGGATTACCCGTTACTCCACGTAAAATTAAGCTTTATTCTGCTGTATGTTTTTTTTTTAAATTTCATCTTATTTTTTTAAATCTAATTATTGTGCTATTAAAATTTATTATTAATTTTTCTTAATCATTTCAATTATACAATATCCATCCTTTTATTCAATTATTTTAAAATCAATTGACAATGAATAAATGATCAGTGATAAATTAATCAATTGATCACAAAATCAATTAGACAGATTCTGGTTAATTAAAATAATTATGTTTCAGCATGATGGAACAGTGTTGGCACTAATGTATGCTTTGGGTGTCAGCAATGATTTGCTCGTTCCGTATGCTTCGTGTGCCATAATGGAAATATATAAAACGGCGAATAATCATACAACAATCAAGGTTTGTAAAAGAAATAATATTGTTAACAAAAATAAAATAAGCATATTTTCATGTAACAAATGCTGCAACGATAATTTAAGTAGCAAAGGTCAAATTTATTATTTACAAAAAGGTCAAGTATCGAGTTAAAATTTGCAAATGCATACTTACATTATTGTTCACCTTTTTTAAATAATTTGATTGTTGAAGTTTTCTTCCAGTATCAAATTTAACGAAACTTTATAGTTTTTTTACAAGAATGGAACCAACATCTATCAGTTAGCACTACCCGGTTGCTCTTCAAATGATAATTGCACAATTGCGCAAGTTAAAAAAGCTATTGCCACAAGAAGTGTTCAAAGTTTGCAACAGTTGAACGAGGCAAAATTTTTTTTAGTGATATTAGAATCAAATATTCGTTAGATAAAATTCTTTGCCTTGCTTGACATGCTTAAACTTTAGCTTCTCCCTTATTTAGAATTTTTCACTTCTTCCAATCAGGATTTGAAACTATTCAAATGGTGTTCAAAAAAATACCGCCTCTTGACAGCAAAGATTCATTTTACTAAGTCCTGCATTTTGAACCATAAGGATCCTCAGAAAAATAAAAAAAAGAACCGAATAATCGTTATCAGATAACTGACAGCATTTTGGCAGTCAATATAAATTATATGTTACCTTCTCAGTTCAAAAGAATCATTTCTGAAGTTATAACTTTTGAAGTTCAAATTTGAAGGAATTTAAAATTGTACATTGTCCTATAATTTTCATTAAAATAGGTGGAAATTAATTACTTAAATTAAATGTCTTTCCATAAATGAATGATGGATCATATTTTTAATCATAGTAGCTTAACGTATAATTTAAATTTATTTTAAAATAACTCCTACTAGTCAGATCATGCTGAATTTCAATAATTTTATTTATTCGCTTAGTATCAACTTTTTTTTCAAATTTATATCGTAATCTGTTATGCTAGAAAAATGAGCTAAATCAAATATTTCTACTTCTTTGAAAATGAATGTGAAAAACGATAAAAGTCGTATATATTAAAAAAAATTATTATTTCATAATATGACTAAAATCGAAGATTACAGATATGTGCCTCGAATGAATCTTTACACAACACTGCCGACTTTTTAATAATCGGTTACTTGAATATACCGACAGTTGCAATAATGTTAATTTATCAAATGTTTATCAACGAATTATGAGTATTTCATTTTGATTTCTTAATGACCATTCTTTTGGCAATTTTAGTTGATTTGTCTGTCGTTGAATTCAAATTAATGTGATTAATGATAATCAATAAAAAATGAAAAAATGATTACATCTATTATTTGCAAGATCATAATTCAGTTATTTGAAAATATATTTTAATTTGATTAATCGCTTTTTTATACTGATTATAAAACATGAAAAGATGTAAAACTGCTTTGTATTTTTTTCCAATGCTAGCTTTTGCGCTTGCTGACATCAAGCAATTGTTAAATTATTTGTTTTCTTTTTTTTCATGTTCTGGAAATCAATCATTACGTAGGCATTTTTACACATAAGTGTAATCTGCTTTAAATGTTTACTCCATCTGAAGTATTCTATACCGCTGCCTGTTTCTATCATTATTAGCTAATGACAATCCAGGAATATATTACGATGAATTCATACAAAAGCATTTCAGTTTTAGTTCTTACCAAGCTAAAGTAATTACCGTACAATACGTACAATCATGCAGTGTTGGACTGTAAATATTAGTATTATGATTTCTTATATCACACATGTTGTGTGATTAGTCATCTTCAAGTTTTTGTTAATCACTTTGTTTTTTTTCATTCCATTTGTCTTAAAAAAAATTCAGCTAAAAAAACGATCTATCAACTTAGACTGTTTTTTCAGTTGAACTGTTATCTTAGGAGATACCAATTTGGAGGTGCTCTCAAAGATAAAAACAATCCAGTAGCGAAAATGATCATTTGGCAGATAATGTAATCGATGAAATTAAATAAAATACGTTTAACTGTTGCTCCTAGAAAACAAAAATCATTGGATTAAATAAAAAACATCGTACTTATAAGGTTACGGAGAGGCATGGTAAGGAAGAGGAGGCCTGTGATTTCAGCACATACCTATGATTCACTTCTCCCAACAAAGCAAGAATATGGTCACAGACTACAAGAATATGTAGTTTGTAGTGGATCTCGTCATACACTGTCACTGCAATTTGATGAATGAAACTGAATGTGCACCCACGCAGTCCAATTATCATCGTTCAATATGCTGCCGATGATTCATTGATCCTTTCCACATTTCATAAATGTCATTTTGACCCTGATTTTTTCACTTTCAGTTATTCCCGTAAAATATGTAATTCCAATGCGGAAATCCGTAACAAACAATTGACATAATTTAAACAGAAAGTACAGCCGATAGTGAATGTTGCTGAGATTTCTTATTCGTGATTAAATTAAAGGTGATTAGGTATTTTCATTTCTTGTATGAATGAAACTTGATCTTTATCACAATAGAGAAATCCAAACGAAAAGCTACATCATATCGAATATTAGTAGGAAGAATAATTGCAGAAATTTTTTTAAAGGTTGGCAGCAGAAGACAGTTATGCAGATAAAAAATACACAACAAACAAAAGCAGTAATAGCGTATACATTTTGCGTAATAAGCAATGCCGGTCCTTTATAAAAATACAATTCATTGACAGTTCTTTCATCTTTATTTATGTGTCCTCTTTTGATTTACCCCTATCACGTAGCATCATTAAAGGTCACGCACATATATTCTTGATTCATTTCTCTACCACAATTAACAACTCCCTCCAACCATGTACTGCCCTTTCTCGAAAACGTGAGTTTAGACGTTATGCTCCATATTTTCTGGATTTTACGGTTCGTCCTATTGGATACTTTGTTTGTGACGTAGCTGACACGTAACGCGATGGGTCGAACAGCACAGGTATGGAGTTGTAGCTGGTTAATGGCGTTTGATGGAAGGCATGTTATTTAAATAAAAAAATCACGTCAATATCATCATGTACAAAATCATAATACTATGAAAGTTTCGGAATTGTAATATAACATCACTGGTTGCTATACGGTGGTCGTTGATCATAATTACTTTGTTAATCATAATTACTTTGTACTAAATTTATTTATGTTCTTTTTCTTCATTCCAGATTTGGATTTAGGTCCAGCTGAGGATCTATCATTATTAGCAGACAGATGAAGTTTTGGACATCCGAGCATGTTTTCGAGTAAGTTTTAATAGGTGGTAATTTATTTATTTTTCTTCAATTTTAATGACTTATGGTAATGTAATTTGATTTATTCATGGTGACATTAAATTTGATTCTTTGTGCTGTAACTCATTATTAGGCATTGGTTTTCTCAAATTGTTCTCTGATTTGTTTAGTCATCCTTGGGATACTGTGGCACATGCAGCATGGCGCAAATATCCGAATCCAATGAATTGCGCTGTTAGTGGGATCGATGTCCTCAGACATCGTCCGCTAGTTGATGGTTCATTACGATCTGAACGTATTATCCAGAGCCATTTCCCGATACCTGCCTGGGTAACAAAAGTAAGGATTTGTTTGATTAATCTTTGCCCTCTCCTGCATAGCTTCTTTAGTGGTTGAAAATGTCTGTTTTTAGTTCTGGTTCATCAATCTATTTTTTGAATAAGAAATTAGATGAATTCACCGGTTTTTATCATATTTTCATGCTTACCTATTTATTGTTTTCCTTCTTAGCTGACAGGTTTTTCTGGAACTCAGTATTCTTATGAAGTGACCGAAATTAATCCGGCAAGGAAGGAAATGATTTTAATCACAAGAAATGTATGTCGTTTATCAAGATTTCAAATTAATCTTTACAAATGAAACTCTTATGATAGTTTGTTTCTCAAGTTGGAATTTTGTTTTTTGCATTTTGTTCCTCTCACTTAATTTCACCCTAAGATTTTAAAAGATTGGTAAGGAACTTCAAATAAAACTGTTGGTCTTGCACGTAGCTTCTGACAGTTATTTGCTAACCGTGATTGTATAAAAATTATATAATACATTTCAATAATATATAAATATGAAAAATCTCAGATGAATGCGGGACGTTTTCTGCGTGTTGATGAACGACTGTTATATAAACCAGATCCTTACAATGAAGACAGGTATTTTCTTATCCAGTATCCGTTTTTCTTCTTCTGTTATTGAGAATTAATCAGCATCAGCCTACATAAATGATAAAGTTAAGTTTTAAAATGATTGCAGGACGATATTACAACAAAAAGCTTCCGTCAATGTTGATTTGCCAGCATTCGCAGATTATTGTGAAAAAATGTTCCTGAATATATATGAAACGAATGCTGAAAAGGTGATCAACTTTACTATAAAATTCTTATCAATTTTTTTATTGACATTGCAAGTCTGTGAAGATTTGATAGCTATCACGAATTGCAAACTTTTTTCAGTAAATAGTATTCAAATTTTTAATATTTTCAATTTAAAATCCTTTCACTTTTTTTGATTATCAAGAAAATTTTTCGTTGTTAAAACAAATGGAAATTATTCCAATTATTGGCTTGTCGTTCGAAGTGAAGTATATAAGCAAGAAAGAAATGAAGTACATGAATATTCGGAATTCCTATTCATTTAAATTTACTATATCTTATGATATTCACAAAAGTTCTTGATTATTGCTTCTTATCAGCAAATCTTTTCTGGTCGAACACAAAACTGATTTGTACCGAAATTCCCGCATTTGGATAAAAAGTGGCTGTTCACAATATGAATAGGGAAATTTTAACAATGATTAAACAGGAAAAAATATCCTAATGACGTCAGTGGTGCTAGACAATTTTTATGTTTGATTTGGTAAACCTTCCTATATTTCTAACCAATGATGATAGCGATGCAGCTGAACAGCATCGTAAAAATAACGAGAAAATCAAGTCAAGTAATAATTGATCATTTAAGGGTCGGAAGGGATTGGAGTGGGTAATTGATCAGTTCGACAGCTCATCTAGATCAAGCTCAAGTTCTGAAAAGTCATCCTCACAAGGATTCTCAGATCCAACGCTTATTTTCAGTTCACTGCATCCTGCAGCGCAACAACCAAGTTTCCTTTCATAGCACAAACTGACGATTGCATATAGTTCTAATGATCTCACAGAATAATGCTGCTTAATATTGCATGCATCATTTTTGAGTTTCATATAGCTTTCATTATAATAATATTGCTATCGATTTGTTTAAAATCTATTTAAACAGTATTCAGGTGATGATAAGTAACAGCTGCTGGATAACTAAATGTTCTTTGGAATTTATTCGGGTCTGCACTGTCTTGTATTTCCAATATCACAGTATCTTATTCGAGAGAATCATTCATCCACTTTTTTGCTGCCTTATTATTTTTAAAATACGGTGTAACTTTTCATTGTTAGTTCTTGTTATATTATGTCATTGCAATTTGTCAGTTTGTCTGAATATTGGAAGAACATGTTGATGTTTAGGAATATGCGGAAGAAGTAATTCTAGTCTAATCGCAGTACTTATTTGATTATTATATATGGCAATGCATGTTGCTGTATTGCCACTGATCACATCATTGTCATTTGTGCAACATTTATAGCTTTTCATACAACAAAATGATTGAAGTGAAGTGAACGGAAGAATTATGCTAGCTATTCATGTTTTTATGTGTTGTAGCATAGTGAACTTACTGCGATTATGAAATTTAAAAATTTTCAAGTGCAGAAAAAACTAAATTAGGTTTGCTGTTCCTTTCATATTTTTGTTAAGAATTGGAGAAATGAGTGGTGGAAAAATTGCTTACATCAAATCAAAATATATATCTTTGAACCTTACATTCAGAATGTGACGATCATTGAATGATGGAATCTATTTGAATCTCCTTCTGGGCTCGTAACTGTAATAGCCTAAAAGCGCCATAGCTTTTAATTTGAGGGTGGATATTTCTCGACAAAGATGTAGTTGTTAGCAAGCTATGCACTATTTATTATAAGTATATCCTGATTACCTGAATCATTTACGTATCTACTTATCTATATCTGTAATCCGGACTGTTGTAGTCTCCATGCTATGGGTATCGTTTCTGATCAGATTTATTTTTGAAAACTAATGTCATTCCGAGTTCCATTCTTTTTCACTACCTTTCTCCTTTTTTCCCTAGAATAGTTAATTTGGAAAGTAAAAGGCAAGTCGAGAGATCTCCGGAATATTCTTCTATGTTTTGGAGATATGGCACCTCAAGCTGTAGTAGTAGTAAACACTGTTGATAAGCACTGAATTGTGAGTGTGAAATCTGATTGGTATCATTCTTCTTGAAAGTGGCTTAAATTTGCAATTGTATAGCATGATATTGTAGACAGGAGGTACATTATTAATGGACAATGGAAAGGCTGAGACTCGAGGATGGTCTGGAAGAAATACCGTTTTTACAGATGCAGTCCCACTGCGACACACTGTTGCTCTATATGCAGCACTTGTACAATGTTTGTTTCAGCAAGTTATTTTTTGCGAAATTTTATCTTTTCACAAGAAAAATTTGATAAAAATATTATTGTGCCTCACTTCCTTTCTGCAAGTATCTTTGTCTCGTAAAAAAAAGTCATTGATAAAGTCAGTTTAAAATAGGAAATCTTTGATAATTCAAAAATACCAACCTTAGAAATATTTATTTAGATCACTTTGATTGTTTTGTTAGATAATGCAAGTTGCTGGACATATATTTATTCTTGCTTTACGGCTGCGTTATTTACAATTCTTGTAGACGAGTCGTTTTTTGGATGTTATTGTCCAAAATAACGGTGATTATGCGATATCGGCTCATCGTCTCATCCTAGCTGCTTATAGCAGACATTTAGATGCAGCTCTTTCTAGTGTTCAAGATTCTGCAGTTATAACCTTGAACATTGATCCGAAAATTACAGGTAGGCTACTGTTGTTATCTATTTTATAATAATTGTTTTTCTGATCAATATACGTAGTTATTATAAAATGTATTATAAAACCACCTCAAAAAATTAATGCAAAATTTTTAGCCAGTCTTTAATTGCTAAGAATTTACACTTAAGGTGTGAAAATGGACGAGCTTCGAGCACTGGTAAAATATATGTATACTGGACGTTGCAACAATCGATCTCAAAGCAGGACACTTTTTGTCGCAAATGCGCTTGGTTGTGATTCCCTGATTAGACTTCTAGAAAGTGAAGAAGCTCAGATTTATGAGAATGTAGATTTGGAAAATCCTGATCATGCTCAAGAATTGTTACAAGCAATCCATCGTTTCAAAACTGAAGGAAAATTTATTGATTGCTTCGTAAGTAGCCGGGTAAATATTTTTGTATTGGTGCCAATATCTTGTGACATCTTGATAAATTATAACTATTATATTAATTATGGTGAGAATTTTCTTTCGTTAAAATGATAACGAGAAAAAAAGTTATTACTAAAATAATCTAGCGCAGAGTTTGGAACTTGTATAATTGATGTCTTATTTACTTTTTCAATTTTAGAGCAGAGTAATTCTTCGATGTCATCGTTTGATGCTTTGTGCGTTTAGTACTCATTTCGAAAATGCACTTGCATGTACCGAGAAAAGTACCATTGTCACTGTTGACATCGATCCCCAGATTACGGGTGTAAGTAGGTATGGAAATCTTATCACTAAGGCAGACTTATTTTTTGATTTAAATATGTAGGCAATATTTATTGTTGCAATTGACTTCCTTGAAGATATATTATGAATCCTTTTTTACCTGCGTTTTTCGAAATATACATTTTGCTTGTTTCAGTGTGGATTTGAGGAATATAGTCGATTTTTTGTACAGTGGGTCAGTTCGTACTACATCGAGGCGTCGTAAGATATTACGACAAGCTGCTGTTACTTTAGGTGTGGCTAGATTAGTTGATGCTATCGATGAAGAATTAATTGCTTCCGAAACAGATCTTTCATACAGTGCTGGTAACATAATTTACATTTGTTAGATGTTATGATCTGGAAAGTTTTCAGATTGCTTTTGAAAATCGAAAATTTTGATCACTTAGAGAAATATTTCAAACTTCTTTATCTTGCTCAAGATATCGAAACAAACCAGTTTTTAGGTGATCGTGATGAAATGCTGGTGACAAACGCAATTTATGGACTTTCGGACCCTGCAGGCAATTTGATTGAAAATAGTGAATCTGACATTTCTGTTATAAACAATCCAGACTTCGAAGATGAAAATGATGACAGTAATGTGGCGGAAACTAGTGCTGAAAATCTTATGGAAGAAGCTTCTGATTACATAGACAAAGGTATAAATGAATTAAGTTTGTATCAGTCAGTCTTGGGTATTCTTTTTTCAAGAAAAAGCCAAGCTTTTTGGAAAAATGTTTCTTTGTGACTTTTTTGTATATGGAGTAGTTTAGAGATTTTCGGAAAATTTATGAGTGAAAATGATTGCCTGAGCAGACCTCGGCACTCAAGCACAACTCTACTTTGTAATAATATTCGAGTTTAAAATTCCTTTATCGAAAACGGTTGTTCGACGGAAGCAATAAGAATTACAAAATTGAGTTAGTCTCATTAGTGTCAAATAAGTGTAACATTTATTTAGATGAAATACAGATGATAGATGACAGGAAACAAAACGGTATGGCTGTTGCGAAGGCAGCAAATGATTACATGTATATTTATGAAAAATTTGTTGCTGGACCGAGTCGAGGTCGTAAAGGTGGCACATATGGACATAAACGGTTGATGTCGCAGTTGGAGAAAGATATAAAGCTTTGTCGTAAGCTTATTTCTATTATAAGACATGTTAATACATGTGCTTAGAGTCTGTTGTTTAAATTATGAAGGTTAATATTGCCATGCAATGATACACTGATCGATTCTCCTATTTGGGAAAAATTTGTTAAAACAAATTCATATCTTTTGGTCAAGTTTAATTTATATTCAAATAATTAATTTTTATTATCGAAAGTGGGCATTAAAAACAAGTTAATTTTAGACGTAGAAGAAGCATCAGCAAATTGTGATGCTATGCAGAATGACAATTTTGAAACCGTCTCTGCAGTGACGATGTCATATATTCCACCTTCCAAAAAGCGTCATTTGTTGGACAGTTTTGGTTATGGCTTGCCTGAAATTGTTGCACCCAAAGATGTTACTGTGCCTTTATTAGTCGGTGATCAAGAGGTTTATACAATATTTTTTTATTCTTTATTTCAATGATTCAGAATAATTAAGAATTGTTGTATTGTCCAATGTCTCCATTATGCATTATGATTATGACAGATTATTTACACCATTTTTCATTCATTTTCGCTGTCCGGAAATTGTCACATAACCTTATTTGCTATGTCTTTCTTAATTTCTGGACTTCAGTTGAGTTTCAGGTAATGATGGAAAAACCCTTCAAATGTCCATTCTGTGATCATCGGACAAAAGAGAAAAGTGCGGTTGAAAAACACGTCAGATGCATACATACATTGGAAACTCCTTACAAATGTCAATATTGCAACCAAGCTTTCAAAGTGCAGAGCAATCTCGTCAGGCATATTCGAGCTCATACAGGTGTTCTTTATTATTATTATTTTTGACTGATTAATAGTTTTGCCCTATTTGAAATACGTTTTGATTTCTTTTCGGCGGTCGAAAAGAATTTTTCAGTTTCGATATTGTGTAAGTGCGTAAAAATTATGCAGATGGGTGAAAATTTTATTTTTTTGAAATTTAATAAACTTATAGGCGAAAAACCATACACATGTAAAAAATGTGGGACAACATATGCAGATAAGAAAAATATGGATGCGCATATATTTAGAGAGCATTTGAAACTGAAACCATTCGAATGTCCGGAAGAGTTTTGCAGAGCTAAATTCTGGCGAAAAGATCGTTTCGTTGTGCACTGCCGTCGAATCCACAGTTTTGAACCGGTTATTAGTTTTGGAAAATTAAGTTCCTGATATATTTTTGTTTTTACGTGTTGTGTAAAGTATTTTTGCAACAGTTGAATGTGGAGCAATTTCTCATGATTTCATGTTTTCCGGTGCTCTTCAGAATTGCAATTTTTGAATTGTGCTTGTTAAGCAGTTCCTGTATATTTGTTTTATCAGTTCCATATGTGCTAATTTGTACAGCATATTCTTCATTTCACTGTAAATAATCATTGCAGGAAAGACTAACCTCCAGAATTTATTCTAAATTATGAACACATATTCATTCATTGTGTTATGATTCAATGAGTTATTGAGAATAATTTTTGATAAGAATTTGTTACTAGAAGTAAAAGATTTTGCGTATTTTTATGACTTCATTGCTTAAAGTTTTGTATTGGACAAAATATTTTATTGAAATTTGCTTTGTTATTCCCAAATGCTACTACGAATTAGAGTGATTTGGGAAATCGGAATTCATTTGAATGTGGTTAAATTTGAACGAAAAGGGATTAAAATTGTTGCATTGGCAACTCTCTACTCATGATAAAGAGATTTAATAATCGAAATAGAACATATGCTAAGTTTTATAGACTGCATGACGGATAAGGATGTGGATCAATACATCAGGCAGAATGTTGTTTGGTCGAAATTGCCCGAGGAAATTCGGATTGTTTTGGGCAACTCACAGAGAGAATATGATAAGCTCGTACTTGAATATTCAATTAAAAATCAGTTGAGATATAAAGGCAACATAGGTGTGTATCTCTTTTTTACTTACGAGATTAGTTTTTTTTCTCTTCCTGGAGTTCGTGAGTTTTCCTATGTCTTCGACTTTGTAGTTATTTAAAATTGATAACTTCAGATATTGTTCTGCCTTGTTCGAAATAGTTCAGTTATTTCGTCTGTTTTTGATTGTTAGGATGGAAGGACGGTTTTCTTTAGTTCGACGCTGACTTATATTTTGGTTTTCAGTGAAATATGTAAAAAAAAATGAAGAAACTTATTATGATATTCTTTTGAAATACAGCGAAACTCATCTTATGCTTTATCCATATCACCTGTCAAATATCGTTGTACGCGAACTTCGAATGACGCCATTTAGTTATTATATCAACATTATGGCGGTAATATTTTTGAAAAATTTTTTCGTGTGTATTTTTTCTTATTTTTTACCTTAGTTTTTTGCAAATTAACAAATGTTAATTTTTCGTCAATATACTTCATACAGTCTCGTCGTGATATATTGATTGCTGATTTCTGCGCATATTGATATATTCCTTTTTTATATTAGATACTCAACTTTAGTTTAGAAAATTTTCTAAAGCACAACTTTAGTTTAGAAAACTTTTTAAAACACTGCTGATGATGGAGGAAAATAATTTTTAGAATCTTATGAATGCTGAAAAAAGTTATGACTCATTGCCAAATTTTACGGCTGCCGATGCGATGAGATTGTTGGGAATTGGCAGGAATCAATACATTGACTTAATGAATCAGAATCGTTGCAATCGAAAAATATTTCGAAAAAGCAAATCACTGCGTGAATTATTGCCCGCAAAACCTGTTGCGATCAACATTGAACCTTGGTGGTTGCTCGCACCGGGTAGTATCCTAGAAAGTGATGTTAAAGTAAGTTTAAACACTATTTGCAAATTCTTCCGGTAATTCAACAGTTCAATTTATTTTTTTCTTCCCTTATTTCGCACCGAACTGTATACCAGAAAATGATGTTAAGGTAATCTCTTTGAATCTTTTAATCGAAAATACCTCCATAAAGATAAGTCATGCAGTTATTTTGGCTTCTATTCCTGTTGTCAAAAGTTGTTCCACTGTGCACTTGTGATAACATTCATAGTGCAACTGCTTAGCTAGTAGAATTTTGCATGTTTGAGAACCTGAAAATTTCATTCTGTGAAAACTAACATTGGAAGTGTTGCAGTTACTGAATAGGGATGAGAAAGATTTATTAGATATGCTTATCGATGAAGGTGCTCAATTAGTTGGTACTCTTGATGCAAAGCTGGTGCAAAAACTTTATAACCGTGGCCTGGCTTATTTGGAGGTGCCAGTTAACGATGACGATTACATTTATGGTATTAACTCTTTTTGTGTTTTGCTGTTTATTAACCAAAAAATCCTGTTAACTACTTCGTGCATAATTTGAAACTAATTTACGAAGGAAAGAACTGAAATTTTATCTGCGATTATGGTCAAATATTAACAAGCAGTAATAATGGCAAATTAATTAAAGATTTTCATACAGTGAATTAAAGAGTCCTTCTAGGTCTCACTTTTGTTTTAGATGCAGTAATGGCTTTAAACTATGATAACAGTTGTTTTTTTTTCCCTTTATTTTCATTTCCTTTTCATACAGTTTACTCAATGCTTAGAAAAATATCTTGCTGACTTTTCAGATCATAAGTCCAAGATCCAGTTCGTGGGATGCCAAATCTCCTCCCTTTTCCCGATAAACAGTGCAGACTACGGAGGGATAGCAACAGTCAATTTTAGTAATAAATAATGCATAATTTGTATTTGTTTTTCTTGCAGTACCAACTTTGGATGGTTTTGTTATGAATCGAGTTTTGGGTGATTATTTTGAAAACTTATTATATCAGATATTTGTTACTATCGACGAGCAAACAACTGTGCGGGAGGTATATTTTAAATTATTTGCATTTTCTATTTTTTACACTAGGTATTCAAATAATGCGACATAAGAGAAGCAGTTCATAAAAATAGAATTTTTTATGGAAATTTTTAATCAATTGACATGAGTTTTACTGCTTTCAATAATTTTAGCTTTCGGAAACTCTGAATATTGATTTGCAACTCGTCAAAAATGCCATCTCGGTCTTTTGCCGGCTTGGCTTCGCGAAGAAACGTATCACTGGACTAGAAAATCTTGCGTTGCATGTAACATGGGCAAGTCATATGACTATTCCAGAGTGAGTATTATAATTTTCAAGATAACTTACGCTTTCATTCATCAGAAAAAATCACTCATAATTTTACTGAAACCTTTGTTTTAATTGTCTAATTCTCCTTAACGGTAACATTTTCGTTGGTTATTACATAATGATTTATCAATTGTTGATAGTATTTTACCTAATAGATTTTTGCTTTCGTTTGTGATCGTCAAGTTCTCTCCATCATTTATTAGTATAATGTAATTTGACCGCAGTGACATTCATAACTTTATTTTTATAATTACAATTATAACCGCTCATTTCCATTTTGCCAACATTTTTTTGGCAAAATAAAAAACTAATATATTAACATATAATGAATTGGCAAGTATAATTTCCGAAAATTAACACAAAAAAGCGAATAAAAATTGACAAAAACTAAGTTAGTTTTTTATACAGTGTTCATTATTTTATTTCTCTTTCTGTGAAAGTTTTTTCATTTGTTGAGAACAAATTAGAAATAGATTAGTCAATCACATTTTTTTCAATAGCTTCTGCAAGTTCATGGGTCTTTAATTTTCTCATTATTCTCTTCTAGGTTCTTCTACTATATATTTTTTTCCTTTTGGTGTGGTTTTTAGGATATATTTTCATCTTTGACTTTTAATAGGATGGACGAAGATTCTACTGCAGCAATCACAGCTGATCTTACAGACTTTTCCACGGCATTGGTTTCTCCAGGCGGTGCTGATGAAGATGACGAGAATGAGTCCGGTGCCGATGGATTACTGACGAACCACGATGTGTTAACAACGTCATTTACAGTAGTGATATATTTTCTAATCATTCAAATTATAAATTAGATTTAAAAATTCATTCTTCTACTTATTTTAGTTCTGATAAGTTGTTTCAGTCGTTGTCGTTACCAACTCCTATTCTCAGTGGTGGAAGCGAAGCTGCAAAACGAATTGCGTTTCTCTTCGATTCATCGTTGACTGCTTTTCTCATGATGGGAAATTTATCAGTCGTAAGTTTCTTTCTTTTGATTGAAGAGATTAAAAAGATGATAAACGGCAAATTTTAATGGAAATCAGTGTAATGCGCAATATAAGCTTTCAAATGCTTCCAAAAATTCAAACATTTCGATGATGTTCAAAGTTTTGTTAATAATTTCTCGTTCCTTGGAGTTTTCGTTTTGAATATCTTTTCGTTATAGAGCCTAAAAAATCATGCGGTAACATTATTTGAAGTGGGAAAATTGAGTGATGAGTCATTGGATAGTTTCGTGGAAGAGTTGCAAAATGTAAGTTGGTGTCCTTATTACGTTAAATTTGTCTAGCATTTAAAGATAAAATCGCAGCTTTCTCATAATCGTAACAAAAGATATGATTATTGAACAACTATAATGTGATATTTTTGGTAGTGACATTGTTGATTCAGGTGAAGCTGTTTATGGAAGGTGAAGCACAAAGATATTCAGAACATGCTCAAACATTGTTATTAACGATTCTTGCACTGCGAAATAATTCTGAATTGGATTTAATTAGGGGTGAAAGTTTGTTATCATTAGATCACCCTGCACGTTTGCGCCTTATCAACAAAACATACAGGTTATCTGAAAGTTTTAAATTGATTTGATTTGGTTGAGGTGGTTTGCCGATTGATTAGCTGAATCGTTGATCTGCTGACGACGTTGTGTAAAAATTTATTTGATCGTTGAAATTAAATGATTCAGATAAAGATAAGAGAGTTTAAGTCAACAACAACAACCGTTGGGAGAATTTGGGATATTTAAATTCCTAAACAGGATGTGATTAATGAGTATCATGATACAAGCAGATTAGTTACAGAGAAAGTTATTAAGAAAGAACGGTTTTTACAAGAGAAATGCTAAGGATAAATCAGCGGATGTTAAGAACAGTCATGAGAAAGAAATATGTAAATGAACATCCGGATAAGATAGTTTTTATAGTGAGAATTTGCTAGTTACAAACAAAAAACGCTATAAAGCTCATCTACATTTCTCACAGTGGTAAATCTTTAAATCTTTGTTGATTGTCGGTCATCTGATTATACAACTCTTTAAAAGAAATACAGTTACTTAAATTAGGAATTAATTTCGGGTTTCCTAACACAGGTTAGAGCTATAATGCAAAACAACTGTTTGAGGAATACTTTTTGTAGTTTATTTAATCACCAATTTTGAAAAACAGATTCATAGTTGCTTAAAACAGTTTTTCTCATTTTTTTAAACTTATATTTAAAACTGAAGTTAAGGTGTTTGGTTTCAATGGCTCCATTAAATGGGGAAGCATGTCCATTATCAACACCATCTATTCCTCATTTTGGAACTGTTATTCCAGAAGTATGTTGATTTTGATTTTTACCAAAATTCAGAACTGAATCATAATTCAGCGAGCATTTATCAATAACTCACCAAGAAATTTAGAAAGCTTTTCATGAAGGAAAATCATTGCAGGTGGTTTCTTCATGGTTTCGATTATTTTTATATTGTACCGTGGGTGATGGACCAGTTTCGCTGTATATCCCCAAAGGCTCACGTGTCCCAGTCATTCCTTGTGCTTTACGACGATGCAAGCGTTTACTGATCACTACTGCTTCGCACGAACCTATTATCGTTCCAGCTGATAATTGTTTAATTCAGTTGAATGACATACTTCAAATGCATGCAGTATTTGTGCAAGTATACTTTTGTAGTAGTATTATTTTCAGTTAAAGGGATTAAAAGATATCGAAAATGCTGAAAATTTTTATATTGTGTGGTATGTCTGTATTTTTTAGGTTTTTTCAGTTTTTTATAATGTAACCTATCCAGCGTTTTCTTGAGATTAGAAAACTGGTGATCTTAAAATATCAGAATTGCACATTGTTTATTTCAATATTCAAAGTGAGCTATTAGATTTTGCCTTCTCTTTTTTTAATGACTTGACATAAATAAACACTTCAAATCCTCATAATCCAAAATTGTTTGTTCAGGAATACAGTGCTGTGACCGATGACTCAGAGATTGCAAGTGTCCCATTCCCATTTACTGAGTCCAGCTTAACAGATGGTAATTTCTGTATCTTTAATTGCCAAGTAGAATATTGGAAAAACTTTAAAAATAAAAATAGCAACTTGCTCAAGATATCTTGATATTATCATGTTGTTTTTTATTGTTTATTTATTTAACTTAAAGGTTCTATCTTCACATTAGTTATTTTTTTTAAATTTTTTATAGGTGACTTTTCATCGCACCCTTCGGTGTTGAAACTTCAGCGGAAGTTGGGACTAAATTCACTGTGTGGTTATTTGATATTATTGTGCAAAAAGAAGTCTGCTGAATGGGAACAACAGTCAGATAAAAATAGGAAAGGTAGTAGCACGACAATCAGCAAAGATCCAAGGTCTTAATTTTCTCCTTGATTTTCACGGAAATCTATTGTTACTTGTGTTCTGCTGTTTGTTCCTGATTTCTACAATATTTATTTTTTTGCATTATCAATGACTTAGCACTTTAACAAATTAGCTATAACTTAAAAGTTAGGCTGTAAAAATTGAAATGCGTTATTCTGTCATCATTATAATTGGTGATGCTTCACAGTAGGTGTAGCTATAATACAAATATCCATATGGCGTTAGAAAGGCTGGCTGCAAACATGTTAGTTTCAAAAATTCATAAACCTTAAATTTATAGGAAAATTACGAGCCTGCGAGTTCATTTGAGAAACGACGAAACATATGCGGATTACACATTGCTTGACTGTGTTTTTGGCGTACCATTATTCGATGAGCATTTGAACAGGGTCATTTGTCAAAGAATTAAAGATTTCGAACTTCTTGACCCAAAAAAGTTTTCTTTTATTTCTTATATTTCTGTTTCTTATTTCTTATATTCCTTAAGCTGAATCTTATTCTTTTAAAAGAAGAAACAAATATAGTTTTATGGTTCCTTCCTACACATTTTTCAATTAAAAGATGTCCTTTTCATATATTAGTTCAAACACGGCAGAATTTGCGAACCATGGTCTAATACAGTCGTTGCGAGAACTGATTAGTAAATATCAGACTTGGGAAGAAGAAGTAAGTTAAAGTACATTATTATATTTTTTATTGTTTTCACGAAGAATGCCAAATTTCAAGTTTTTTTTCTTTAAGATCAAATTATGTTTCAGCCAACATCTACTTGGGAAACTTCGCGTTGGTCTCCTCCAACTCAAACACTTCTTTTCCAAAATGGAGAGATAAGCATAGTAGATGATTTGAGAGTTTGGTGAATAGAAAGATGCAGTTCAGCTGAATTATCGTAGTTAAAATTATGCAACGTGAAAGTCAGTTTTCGTAGAGTTTTAATCAGTGTTCATTTTATTTCAGTTTTGATATTCAAAGTTTTCTGATATTCATTTGGTTTTGTAGGATTATATGACTTCGAATTTATAAGTACTAGTATTTATTGGAACATTTGTAAAGTTGAATTTTGAGGTAACAATATTTCTAATGAAATCTTTTGTAAACCTTTTTTATTCTTTTTTCGGGTACCCAAGATTGCTTTTCATAGTTTTTTAAAAAAATATCTAAACTAATTCAAAAAATTTCCTACTCCTCTGAAAATTTTTTCTTATGCTAAAAGTATATACTGTTAGTAATATATCATTTGTATCATACACACCATCATTTCGAAGAATGATCCATCCATCCATCTTATTTTTTTGCTTTCCGTTATCTAGGTTTTTCATTAGAATTTTGTTTCTCTCATGTGCCTGTAAATCTGCTTTTAGTTACTATAGTTGCAGACAGTAGTTGACTGGTGTTTTCACTATAAAATTGTAATCGTTTTTTCCGTGTGGACAATTTTTCTATACTCTTCATTTCTGGTACTAAAGATTAGTGCTGGGCTTCTTTTTTTCCTTTTCGATTTATTATTGAGACAAAACCTTTTTGTTGTTTTGCTCTCTCGATGCTTTTGTCAAAAGAGAAAAAGACATTCTTCCCGGAAGATTGTCAGATAAGATTTATTTTTTCAATTGCTTTTTTTCATTCTGTTGCTTGAATCATTTTGAAAGCCATTTGTTGCTAATACTTTGAAGCTTGTCATCCTATATTATCAATAGATTGTAGTCAGTTTTATTTCAGTGCTCAGTTTCTGATTTAATCGATATTATTATTGCTAACTTTATTATATTCTGTTGCAGCTATATTGAGCAGCTTCGTCCTATTTTTTGATTTCTTTAGACTGTTATTCAGATGTCAGTTTTACATCATCGATGGAAGTAATAGTTTTTTCATTATTTATAATTATTACTTTATCGAATTCTCTTGCAGCTACATTGAGCAACTCATATTCTAACTTTTATAAATTGTGTTCAGTCATCATTCTTAGCTGATTGTAATAATACCTTGTCGTTGACCTTAGGACCTGCAGTTTTAGAAAATCTCTGGATGATCTAAAGAAAAGTAGGAAAATGCCGTATTATTTGCATGTAGTTCAGATCAGGGATCTGCTAATGGTTGAGTAGTATTAAGTACATCCATAAACATTTTAATTCATGCCCTGATTTTTTAAAATTACATTTGTTCTTTGATTTGCCACCAACATTTTTTCCATCATATTCCTTCATAATTTTGCTTTCTGCCAAATCAGTTTTATTTATAGCTTCTGTTTTGCAATTTTATGAATTTTTTTTTCATATTCTTCTAGTCAAGCATTATTTACCGCTTTCCTGGCAAAATCCGGACTTATCGTACTATTACATTGAACTTCATTATTGAAGCAGAGAACTAATTTTTTTATGAAATTAGAGAAAAATTCACCTTTTTTGGATTCTAATGTAACATCCAACAAAACTAAATTTTATCCAAAATCGATCAAACATTTTGTGCTGTTACTTACTTGTCGAGACGTGCTTTTTAAAATTTTTTTAATTTCATTTCTCTCTCTACTATTATTACTATTAATAATTGGGATGTACTGCTGTTTCAATGAATTATAGTATTATATAAAATTCAAATGAACAATGTAGTTCAAAATAATATTATGACTTCGAAAAACTCATCTTAGCAAGAGAAAAGAAATCAAAGAAATATGAACCTGCACAATTATTGCAATCATCATTATTATTATTACCGATATTATTTTTGTGAATTGTGGCGGAAGTTCATTTTGCAACTGTATAATTGGATGTGAAATTTAAGTAAAATATGTTTCCTGTTACTCTTCTTCCAAGTTTTAATTTATAGATTTAATACTTGTTGTGATGTTTCAAAATTATCTAACATCTTTGTTAATATTCTGTCTTAGTCGCTTATATGTTATTCTTCACTTGGGTTTATATAAGGTTGTGTGTTGCATGTTTTTTTTTAACATGCCTTTCATTTTCATTGTAATTTGTTGTATAGTATTCTGATTTATCTCTTTATTACTCTGAAATATATGTAAATTTTTTAAATGAAAAATTACAGATTTTAGTACTTCACACACTCTACACTTTATTATCCTAAATTTTTCGGCACTTTTTTTCAACTATTTGATCAAATGGATTAGCATGTAGTACGAAGTAATATTTGATTGTTTTGAATCTTAGCATTAAGTCGTTTCTTACAAATTCGATAGAATGAAAGAACTGAAATAATGCATATCGCTTTCGTTGCTAAATATTAGGCATGGTGATGTTTTCCAGTCGTATGACGGAAATAAGTTAGTCTGGAGAAAACTGACGAGATAAATTCTTTCAATGGTTATCTTTTTTTCCTCGAAATAATCACCAAAAGTGCTTCCAAAAATCAGTGGAAGAAGAATTACTATTGGATATGCGAAGATAACATGTTACTTGTTTTCACTTTCCGATATAACCTTTTTACTCTCATTTAGCTAACGTAAAAGATTGCAACATCTTTACAGGAAAATAAATATCTACTGTTCTGTTTCCTATTTGCTTACCACTTTTACACTACTTTCATTACTAATCACTGTAGAGATTAATCAATAACTTGTGGGCAAAGCTTAGTCATTTCTAAGTTACTACAGACTCAGTCACAGACATAGTCACTTAGTCATGGTCATATCGAGTCACATCCACTCGACTTAGTCATATACTTAGTCATATTCTGTGTCTTAGCGTGTGTGATCTTTAACATTTTGCGATTTTTTAAATTAATTTCTGAAACTGCATCGCGGAATATCTGGAGATTGGAGCGATCGATAATAGCATATGGGATTATGAAAATATATTCATTTTATAATCGAGAAATATCTAATTTGTAATTAATTTCTTAAAGTGACAAATTAATTTTTAACATCAGGAATTAAATAGCAGCCTATTGGTATATTTAATAGATTGACATATTTCATATACGACAATATAATTGAGAAAAGAAGAATTGCAATATGTTTTTTTCATTTCGTGCTTCTCTTTGGCGTCTTCTATCTGATCCAACTCAATCTTTTATCTCTTTTGCGCCCAATGAAATGTGTGCCCCAAAAAAAGATGCATAATGGCAGATGCCTATATGTAATGGATTTCTCAGCAGATGTTTCGAGGCTTATTTAAAAATGATAACTTATAAAATTTGCTTTCATTTTATTGCATCAGATTTGGTACATATTATTTGTTATTTCATCTTTCCCTCTCTCTCTCGCTCTTTTAAATTGATTAAATGCATTTAGTGCCAAAAAAGATTACTTGAACTTTTTTCAAATTATCTACAATTAGTGCAGATAAAATAAAATTTTTTCGGGAGTATTAAAAGTATACAAATTGTTATTACACTTTTATGTCATCATGAAATTAGAACATGAGTGATTGAGTACTCTTGAAAAATTTTACATTTTATTCAGAAGATATTTTAAAAAAATCTTCAGAATAAAATACATATACAATTGAAGGGAAGTAACATCTTTCATTTTTATAATGCAAAAAGTTGATACTACAAGAATTGCTCAGTAATTTAAATTTAAAAGTCAAGGATGAAGATGATGAAAGTGTTGATTGATATTTCTTATCCCTAAAATTCGTTGAAAACACTGTAAGAAGTAAATTTCAAAGTAATATCTCTTTATTATAAATGAGTCAGGATATGAATACTGATATTTTGAATTGATTCCAAAGTTCTCGAGATAATAACTTAAGATTTAGGCTGCTTGATACAGATGGAAATAATCATTATATTATAGTCATTTCAAAACCAGGAGAGTGACTTAATATAAAACATAATAGATCTGACATAAATACAAATCCGTTTGACAGCCATCTTTCCAGAATCTAAATTATTTTCCCTATCAAATAACGTCTTCCATTTCCGCCCAATTAATATTACAATAGTGTTCCATCTTATGCTTTAGCGTACACTTTGTGCTATGTTACATCTTGTACTTTTTATAAAACCTGATAAAAGTTAAATGTAAGTTTATGACATGTCTTAATGAATTTATCAGAAAGTTTTAAATTTAAATATTTTAATGTATAATTCGGATTGAGTATTCTTTTAAGGAGGAGTAAAATGACTTTTATCAATGAGAATATTCAATTCTCGCCATTTTATATGTTATGTTTTTATCAGAAAATGATAGAGTAAGGTTCAAATTCTTCTCTCTTATGTTGATAATTTCATTCAAAGTTTTCATTATGTCTAATGGATAGTCGGAGTTGTATAGAGCCAAGTCTCATATGAAGTTGTAATCAAAGATTCGGTACTCCCTCGAAAGTATCGAATCTCAAAGAATTTTATAGACAAAGATTATATACAAAATTTTCACTAAACTGTGGTCAGCAATGATATTTCTTCAAACACACAATGCTTTTTTAATTGTTTGTCAGTTGCAACATTGATATTTTCGAATTCTTTTAACTTTTTTTCATTACTATTCGTTGTTTGCTTCTTGTTCATCTCATTTTCTCAATTCAGACAATCATATTAAATTAATAAATTTACATTTCACTTTGGATGTATATCTCGAATAACAAATTGCACAAGTTACTAATTACCTCAATGCTTTCCATTATCCCCGTTTAATTTTCTTCAATCTTTGTTAAGTATTAATTTGAAAATATTAGTTACAATGAAAGTTTTTGAATTTATTAGAAATAGAAGGAGTAAGCGGCGTTCTCTCATTGTAAAAAAGCACTCATTTCAATTAATTACGGTATTGATTTTGGAAGGAAACAATAGTGGCAATGATGAGAAGCGATGGGTGAAAGATTTGGAAGATAACGAAATTTGGTGCTGAACTGTTTGGGATAGAAAGAGGAAGAGGATGTTGAGGAATCCTATGAGAGACTTATTAGATGGGATTATCAAAAAGGCTGCTTTTAGTAAAGAGTTAGCTGAAGGCTCAGTAATAGCAGCAATCACCCTTAGGGGATTACCAGTGTAAAGCATCTTCTTCTTCGTCCTCTTTTTTAAAACAAACTTCTTAACCACACGATTTTCTTCATTCTTCTATTGTCATTCGAAGATTAAGTTCACTTTGTTGATTGACTTAGCTATTATCATTCTTACAAGTTTACATTTTGAAAGGAAAGTTTTGCTTTGTAAGACATAAGGAGATAATTTGCATCTTGCAATTAAGAATAAAACTGAATCAGTGGCTAAATTTGAAATAAGCATGGCTTAGATCTTTATGACTGTATGACTACCTTAGGGTCTGTTAATCTTATCAGAGCGTTTGATGACACCCAAATAAATTGACTATAAAATAAAGTTACAAATGATATGTTTGCAATTAAACTAGCTGCTGTCATTATTTCTTCATGTGATAACCCTTGACATATTATCTTATGATATACATCCAGTATCCTGTATTAGCATATGACCTATGATTCTACTGCTACATTTATTTGAGGTACGCTGTCTAGGTTACATAATGTGTTCGGTACAATCTCGTTTCAATAATGTTTATTTTTCACCGTTATTGTTTTTTCTTATTTGTTGTTTAGCGGAAATAGGTTGATTGATTTTATCAATTCACATTTTCAACAAATACAAGTTTAAAATTTGAAGAAATAAAAAAAGAGCTGATTTTAAACATTTAAACAAAAACTGTTTTAATTTTCTACTTAAAACAGAAAATTGGAAAAGTTTGTTGTGAGCTACTTGTTTGAACAATTATGTCACATATCTTCACATCTCTTTATACCATAAAACAAAATAAAAGCCTGTTTGTTTACAGCACAGAAAAGTTTATAAAAGGAAACAAAGCATAAAGAAATGCCGAGTACTTTTCTAATTCAGTTTTATCAGATTTTTTCCAAATTTTCGAATTTTTATCACCTCCCCAAAAATTGCTTTGACTGTAAACAACTGAAGCAGTAAATGAAAAGAATTTTATAACGGTAGTTAATGGTAATGTGAAGTGAGCAAATAAGTTCCTTTCATTCTAACAAACCAAATTATTTGAAGGAATTTCATTGAATCCATCTTTCAATCTTTTTTTTTGTTTCATATTTCATTTTTTTGTTATTTCTATTTTCATTTTCTGCTGTTCAAATCTCACAATTAATATTGTTATTAGCTTAGCCAAATTCGTAGCTTGTTTGTATATCATATATCCATGATATCGTCCTTGATGTTTCTTCTATTTTTTCCATCGAAAATACCGAACAATATAATTTGTTCATTATTTGTTTCCGAACTGCTTTTTTCCTCATTCTTTATCGTCATTCGGTTTCATCATGAAAAGATATTTCTTAAACGAACTTCATTTTAAGATTACCCATAGGAATTTTAAACTTGAGTTCAAACGTTTTCTTAAATGCTTTATGTACATAACTTAGTTTTAAGTATATTTTAGAAAAAATGACGTTATAGATGAATGTTAGTATTTTCGAAAATTTCATTTGAAACATACAAAAAAATTTTTGCAACTTAATTACTTCTGTTACTTTGGCGGTTGTAAAAGGAAGGGACAAAGAAAAGTGCGAAACTTGTTGGAAATGAAAGAGGAACGAAATCGATTGTTGTTGATAAAAATGCTCTGTGAGGAAAAGATTACTTCTTATTGTTTTTCTACGGTCCTTAATTTCCGATCTTATATTTATTTCGTTCCAAAAAATGAGCATAGTATGGTAACAAATTTAATGAAGTCTTTTGAGATAGCCCTCAGTTTGATGGCCTTTACTTTTTTTACTTCCAATTACTTTATCTTTGAAATTCAATAGTACAGAAATAATTCGTTAATTTTTTAAATTTAGAAAATAGTATGATGAAGGAATTAATATTATTAGTTATTCAAATGAAATGTCAAAAGATCAAAGATTAATGTCATCACAAACATTGAACATCAATCAATTCAATCATGAACAATTTCAATTTCTTTTCATACAACGTTGCAATAAATTGATATGTTGCTAACATTTAAATGATGTTTACTTTTATTTTTGATTTTCAAATTTTTGTCAGCTCCCTTTTTATTTTTTAACCTTAACATCTTCGTTATAACATTTTATTCAGTAAGAAAGAAATGTTAAATAAAGGTTCGTTTTTCCCATCCTAAGTAAAAACTTCATTTAAAAATTATTCAATGAATTTCATTTGAACTTCCATTAAAATATTTCACAAAATGTTTATGAAACAGAATAATACAATACAATATTGTTTGTTCCTTTAGCTGGAAAAAGAAAAAATTGAGGTAAGAAGGAGCTTATTATTATTTATTGTATGGTTGGAAATGCCTCAATGGAAAGTAAATGGAAAATAAAAGAAGAAAAATGATTCTGTAGAAAAGAACAACGCGTGGGAGGGCTTTATTTGAATTTTAGATGGAAATGAGGAGTGTAATATGAGGGATACATCGTTTATTCGATGAGGGTTACGCGTGGAAATTAAATGTGTTTAACATATTTATGCTTGCTCAGATATATGTTTTATTTGATGACTTGAAATTGATGAAGATTTAAAATTTTAATGTAAAGAAAAAAGCTTAGAGAATAAGCTTAGGATAATTTATCTTTTAGTTAAGATTTATTGAGCAAAAATTGAAAAAATTGCGCGGTGTCAATTTTTGCTTTTGTTGGAAGAAAATGCAAGAGATTTGAAATGACAAGCCTTTTATTCTTCGTCTTTTACTTGGCGAAATTTGGTTAATTTTTTTTTTATAATTTATTTTGTTGACAACGAACCATTCAAGAAGATATAATATTATTCTTTGAGAAGTAGTTTTGAAAAAAAAATATGAAAAAAATTTGCGGACATTTTTTTAAGAAATTTTAGATTTTGGGGAAGAAAGGTTTCCATATATATTTCAATTTTACTGTATGTAAAAAGAAAGGATGATTTTAGCACTCCCTTAGGGATTATCGTCTTTTTAAACGGTTTGAAAAGTGAAAAATAATAGTCACTGAAGCAGTTTCGACTTCTCTTCTTCAGTTTCTTAAAAATAAAACGATTACAATTTTTCCTTTACTTTTTTCGGATTTTTCAAATAGGTGAATTTCTATTTTGTTCTTTTTTGTCTTCGTGGTTTTACTTATTTACAAAAAAAAGAAATCTTCGATCCTTCTGAGACTTCAAAGCCTTCAACATTCGATTGATTGTAACGCATAAGTTTGTGCGTTGTAAAACCGCCTGATAACGCTTTCAGAACTTCCACTGATCGCATTAATTTGTAAATTCGTCTCTTTTTTCTTGCTAAATGGTTCACTGGATGTGATGCTGAGAGCACTTATGGAAATTCGATAAAAATATTCGATTTATTTCAGTTGCAAGGGATACGAGGATGATTCAAGAAAATAATTCTATTCATTTAGAATATGAATGATGGAAATTGAAGTACAAATTTTATGCTACCTGACTTTTGTATTTTTGAGATGTGAACTATGTTAAGCAAAAACAAGACAATTGAATTATTATTAAGCTTGAACACATATAAAAAATTAAAATTTCAAATTGGGAGGTTATTGAATATCATTGGATTGCTGGATAATTTATCAGAAATGAAGATGATGATAACAGAATAAACAATGGAAGGTTGAATAACAATATTATGAATGTTAACAGAAAATATGCAAAAAATAATTTCAATACATTTAAATCAATTAAAAATTCATTGTTGAAAGAAATAGAATTCACGGATTGGTTGCTTTTCACATCTGTTTTCACTTAAATAATAAGTTAATCTTTTTTGATGTTATTTCAATTTTTGCAATAAGTCTTACGGTATTATTTTTGTTAGTTCGTAAACTTTTTGTAAATGAACTTTCTTCATTTTTTATCCATTTCTTCTGGTCTGCTAACTAGCTTTAAACAACTTTTCAAATGAGCGAAGTAGATGAGATAAATTGAAATTTTTAGAGATGAGCTTCCATTATTTAGCCATTTGGTCCATTAGTTGTTATATTTCAACCGGAATTGCTTCCATATTTATTTCAAGATATTTTGCAATTTAATGTTAATTCTTTTTTCTTCTTTTACAAGCCATAGCAGGCTAATTCAGAATAAAATTTTATTAGATTTTTCTTTTCTAGTAAGTTAATTCAAATTAATGCACCCTTTATTATCGACATCTATGATGTCATCATGTGGTTCATATTAAATCTTTCTGTTTAAAATCATTTCTTGATCAATACATTATTTCTAGATGAAAATGTTTAAATACATTTTAAGCATATCTATTGAGCTTATCAAAAGTTCAATTAGACCGATATGCAAATATCTTTTATGGAAACAAACAATAATTTGCATACAATTATCTTTCCGAATTCTCCATTTCGTATAATAATTTAGACTCGCTGTAGTTAGTTTCATAATTAAAGTTAATGAATCAATAGCTTTAGTATACATCATCGTAATCATTTTATTTTTTGTTTACCTCACTCTTTTTGTGATAAATAAAAATTGTTAAAATTTAATTGTAAGATGGCTCTTTTAAATGTTAGTGTAAAAGTTTTTTGTAAAATCCAACTTGATTGAATGGTACATTGCATCTTCTCTGACTTTTTTAATATTTTTTAATTATTAATTTTCAATATTTGTTAGCGTAGTTATGTTTTGTGTGTAGAAAAAGTTGGTCCTTTCAAAATGCTTAAATCAAATTTCATGAGGTCAAGTTAATTCAAAGATAGAAAAACCGACACCAAATATCTACGATTCATTTCACATTTATTATAAGGTGCGAGTGAGTTCAAAATGTATTGCAGAATGACAGCACTGGGTGAACGGCCAGTTGCTGGTCCAATGTTAGTTTGGCTGGATGCTTTGGAGAAAGATTTTGATAAGGCATTTGTTGACTTAGATTTATTGCTAGGCGAAATTGATTCCGATCAGGTAATTGATTTTTCTTTTTTGATTTTGGTTTTTTTTTACTATTAATTTTGTAAAGAAATTGATTTGATTAAAAATTTTGAAATGATATATTTACAGCTCTCATAAAAATTCGAGTTTCCACTAAATAAATTTAATTTATATCACAAATATTTGATTAATGTAAGCTATAATATTGGCATCAATACGATGAATATTTTGAGCAAGCATTTTCATCTCTCCTTGTGTAAAATCATTTCATTTCATAAATTTGAGATTAAATCCATAAAATTGAAACAATATTGTTTGAAAAATTTCAATTTCCTTTTCGAAATAATTTGCTTGTGTAATTTTGCTGATGCTTAGAGTTTGAAAAAAAAAGATTTTGCCTCTCCAGGCAGATATAATATTCGAAAGCCGTCAAAAGATGACTGCACTTAGTAGTGCATTCGCTCAGCTCGTCCATAAAGCGCAAACGATTTTCCAGTGCAATTTGCGCCAAGAGGTCTCTTATGATTTATTATTAAGACAAAAATTTTTTTTGTTTGATAAAATCAAAGTGTATTCTACTTGTTAATTTTATTTCTCAATTAAAATATAATATGTTTTCCGTGAAGCAATCAAAATGCTGCAGGCAGAATTGGTACAACTTAGGGACGATCTATGTTTATCACGATCCGCTCATTATGAACTTGAACGTGAATCTCAGCAACTCATGCTTCAGGTTTTATTTTCAGTGAAAAAAAATAAAATCTCAAATAACATGATTTTTTACAAGTTTATTACAGAGCTCGAACCTGTTTCTCTTATTGATAAAATCTATTTTAAACTTGTAAAAATCTTCAGGTGCATAGCTTACATTGTCAAGTACATTCTAAAACTGCTCCACATGAATCAGATATGATCA